CTTCCTTCACTTCTCTTTTCCTACTCCCCCACTCAACCGCCTTATTCGTAGGTACCTGAACGAGACCAAGGAGTCCTTTGCTCAGCAGTGGAATGAAATACAAGAGAGAAAAGGAGGCCGCCACGACCTCATCATATTGGTAACCCTTAACTCCTCCCTAATGCCTTCAATGTCGCAATAGGTGTCCAAGCAAGATGATCCCAGCGACCAACTCATCGTCTTCTTCCCCGATGAGAACAAACGTGTTGGAGTGAAGCCCATCAGAACGTAATTACCTCCCATTCTCAACGTCCATGTGTCCATCCTGATTTTCTATAGACTCGCACTGAAGATGGAGGAGCAGAGACTCTCTCGAGCCATCTTGGTCGTACAACAACCTCTCACTGCTTTTGCCAAGACTGCTGTAATAACAACTCATCTGTTTTATGGGGATACTTTTTTTCGACTCAGATTCAAGAGGCGAGCCCCCAGATGGAGATAGAGGTTTTCAACGAGTCAGAATTGGTAGTGAATATCACCCATCACGAACTCGTCCCAGAGCACAAGCCTCTCACGGCGGAGGTAATTCTCCCACTTGAGAATTGACTTGATATTTGTGGCCATCCTTAGGAGAAGCGGTTGCTACTTGAGAGATATAAAGTGAAGGAAAATCAGCTGCCGAGGATTCAGAGCTCCGACCCAGTGGCGAGGCAATGATGACAATAACGACAGCTTTAGTGAAGTGAAATTGTCGATCTTAGGTATTACGGTTTGAAAAAAGGTCAGGTTATGAAGATTATCCGTCCATCTGAGACTGCTGGCCGCTACGTTACTTACAGGCTCTGTGTATAGTCGCTTTACAACAACAACAACAAGGAGTGTAACGTCAACAGGAATATGAGGGAGATTTACTACAACTGTCTCTCTCAAAAGGACAGTCCTCTTGCGTTGGGTAGTCGTAAAATTATAACGGGGTCGTTTAGGATTGTGTACAGTGTGATGAGTAACCAGCCTCCGACACCTCCATCGCGGCGACATGCGGTGCCTCTCCGTCCTTATACTCGACTATCTTCGATCAAATCTGAGCCTCAGGCTGACTCCCAACCGCAGTTCTTGAGGAAGCGGGTAGTGGCCTTCGGAAGTGGCTGATTTGGCGATGGAGTGGTATGTTAGTTCGCTCCCTCGAAACCACGGCAAACTGATAAGGCAGAATATGAGCAGTTAGTGGCTGCTGCTGCCAAGACGGGAGATCAGGGAGACGGCGTTGGTCGAGGGACGAGTGCTAGGCAGCTACTCATGATGGCTGACAAGAAGTAGCGCTATGGAACTGGTTTACCATCATTCGATGCACACGCGTTCGCTGATGAATCGTAGTAATAGTACTAGTCGGAAG